TTCCTCCCTCTCGCGCGATCCCGGCGTCTCTGTCGCTCGTTCGCTCCCACGCTCGTTCTCGCACTCGAGCGTTATTCCTCGCTCATGACATTTCATGAGAACGTCTATTCGTCGTACGTCCGGAACTCGGACGTGCCTGGCCTTTTTTCGGTTTTCTTATCCTCCGTCCTTACCCGATGTAATTTAGACCCGTGTAATTCGTAATTCCCTCGGCACTCCGCGCCGTCCATCGCGTCTACTTAACTGCATGTCGAGTTCCCGACGGTGAACAATTTTGATAAGGCGGTCAGATAACGCCGGCGTTCTTCAAAAAGAGAGAACGCACCGGAGCGCAATTTAGCAATCCCCATAGTATTAACATATCGTAAGTCCTTACAATAAACGAAATATGAAACCGAGAATTTCATGAGATTTCGCTACAGTTTTGAGAATGTAATTATTAAATATCAAATCTAAACTTCAAAGATACGTAGCGCCTTTATAAACACGAAGTTAAACTTTAAAGGCATGTAAATAATATCGCCATTAATACGCAGCTGAAATTTCAAAGTATTCCTAAGAAAATGATTTTACGGGCCTTAACCACCTTAATATAGTGTCACGGATGCGTTAACAGCGCGCGATGGGTAATATAATTAGACAGTTACCGCTCATTGAGAGACAAGACAACGTCGACGACGGGAAGGAGGAGGAGGTGCCGTTACGTTCAGTGGCGGAACATTTCCGGAAGTTGGCGGAAACTCGGGGAGAAAACGGAGCGGCACGCGTTCACGCGCGGAAACTCTCGAGAGTATCTGGAAAGTACTTAAATACACCGTCGACGTGGCAAAAGGGCGCGCGCGCGCAGATGCAATTAGCCGCGGAGTCGGCTCTAACAACGGCGCACGAATCGTCGCCTGGCAGTTACGCTAAAGGGATATGTAGCGACGAAGGTGGCTGGAAACGGGCTGGAAGATCCGACCTTTCTCTCCGCGGCTCGCGGCTGTGAGAAAAATGCGCGAATCGTCCCGATTCCCGCGAATCTGACCGAATTTCTTCGTCGCGCAAGTCGCATCGGCGAAGGCACGAGTCGCCGGCATTTCTTATTTATCGAATAATGGAGCGATACCCGCGCCCCGAAATATCCATTCCATTGAAAAATGTCGTGTACACTACCCGAGGGAGCCGATAATGCACCAATGGCCAATAGTGTATATCGTTCGCGCTTGTGCTCATCGGGGAAAAAAAACTACTGTCCCACGATAGCGCGGTGGCGGATGCCGAGGGGGAGAGACGCCGGGGGAAAATGTTTTTCGATAGAGTCTAGTACGTAAAACTGCATGGAATAATAATGCTGCTCAGCGTGGCGCGTGCGCGCCTCTGTGTGTGGGTGTGTGTGTGTGAATATCTATGTGTATCGATCATATCGAATCGAAAGGGGACGAGATAAACTTGGCCTTTAGCTATTAAATATTAGATAAACAATGGATAATGAGATTGATTTTGCAAATCGCGCGAAGAGACGCGGGGGAGGGGGAGTAGATATTTTATCGGGAAAATAAACGAATACACGGCTTCGCAAGCGTGCGGCCGGCGGCGTTATCGGCCACGTTAACGTTGCAGGATAACGCGTTATTTATTAATACGGCCGGGTCGCCGTGGAAGTAATCTCCCTTCATGGTGCGGAGACCTCGCCTTTCGCAGTGAGGCCGAAAACCAATAACGCCGGGGAAATTGACTATATCATCTGTACTCAGGGCAACGGGAAAAATGATCGCGCGCGCCTCCCGATAATGTTGCCGCGTACGCGCGTACTCGAGATATCGCAATATCGTTTTTCCTACTTGCAGTTAAAATGTATCTTGATAAAATGGAATCGAGTCATGCAGAATGGAGTTCAAGAATTCAAGAAAGCCAGCTCGAGTCTATAGCTCGCCCTTGCGGATATTTCGTCGGTAACGCGAGATACGTCAACACTGAAAGAAGGATTTGGTAACAGTTGCCGAAATTTGGTTAAATAGTTTCAACTAAATTGTTCGCCTACTGCAACCAAATCATTTATCATCGAACATTGTACGTAATATATGATACTACGCAGTACAATATATTGTATTAAATGATTTGCTTGCAGTGACCGAACAATTTAGTTGAATCCGAGTCGAAGTTTTGTCTCACTTCTGCATTAAGCGTTCAAGTGGAAAAAAACGGAAATGACTTTCCATTTATAGCATCAAAAGAATACTAATAGTGCTCCTTCGATTCTGAAAAGGAAGTTTTACATTTTACATTAAGTCTTCAAGTGGAGAAAACGGAAATAACTTGCAACATCGGGAATTATTCAGATTTGATTAAATAATTTCCTGAGTTGAAATTTTAGTTCTACATCAAGTCTATTTAATTCTACATTAAATCTTCAAAGGTCTTCTTTTGCGCACCTTTGATACGACAAATGGGAAGTTATTTTCATTTTCCTCACTTGAAGACTTAATATAGACCTAAGAATAGAATAGAATTGCAAATTTATCTGCAATATTAGTTCCCTCTTTGATATTAATAAATTGGAATTTATTCCTGTTTTCTCCACTTGAAGACTTAATATAAGATTCAAATTTCGATTCGGGTTGTTGTCAGGGACCAAATCCTTCTTTCAGTGAGCTAGCAACGAATGATGAACGTGAACGATAACAATCGATATAACGATTAAAATAATGAAATAAAATCATTGTGTCTCTCCTCGTCACGTCTGTTTTGTAATCAAACATGTATCAGAAACGTACTATTATTATTCTTCCACCTGAATAATTTCAAACGACATAAAAAATAACGAGAGAGAGAGAGAGAGAGAGAGAGAGTGAGGGGGGGGGGGGATAGTTACATTGCATCGTTGCTGTTTACTTGGAAAATAATTCCGCTCTTCCGTTTTCATTAAGCATTTATACTAAAACGGGGAGAAGAGAAGAGGAGGGGGGAAGAGGATATCGTGCATAATGAAAAGGAATGAAAGGACGCGTACGCCGCGTGGCGTAGCGGCGTTTCTCAGTGTAATCTCCGTGCATTGTACGAGCTTGTGCATCCCCCAAGTACAAGAGTACGGAGATTACATTAAAAAGGTGCGTGAGGACGGGGGAATCCATGTTAATCGCGCATTTTCCGCGCGGGAGTGTCCCACGCGAAAATAAGTCTGCCGGATTCCCCGGCGCGATAACCGCTCTTTTTTCCGGAATCCGCCTCTGCGCGTGCTCGCTTATGTCGCGTTCTCGCTGAAATGATTTCAGAGATATAGAAGCGCGTACGGTGTACAGAAAATGCAAGAAAAACCTCACGACGATCGGCAGTATCGTTCACTGCGATGTCGCGTCGGTCGTTCCCGCGACTTTCCGTTTCTTCTCCATTTTCTCCATTTTTTCCACTCCTACTTTTCCTTCCGCTCCTTCCCTTTCTTCACCCTCGGTCTCAAGTTTCCCTCGCATTCTCGAGTTTACGTAACTCGCGCGCCGCGTCCACACAGATACACGCGTATCCGGCCCTTAAGTCTAATATCCGCGTCGCTCCACTCCGCGCACACCTGCATATTGCTCCTTGCGTACGCTCGCGTTGGCGCACGAGATCCTCTACCTGACTGCACCTGGCTGCACGTTGCCGTGCGTTACTTCCAGTTCGCGTATGTGCGCGCGTCCGACGTCCTTTAGTCATCAGCGACGTGCACGTTGAGACGCCTCCAACGCGGCCCTCCTGGTAGAAGCAATCCACACAAAGAGAAGGAAGGAAGGAGAGAGGGAGAGAGAGAGAGAGTTTACTTCCAGCCGGTTCCGCATTCTCCGCCGACGACGCGGGAAATAGTCGGCTTTCGTCGACGCCGTGGATGTATACTCCTTCCCCCCTCTCTCAATCCTTTCCTCCCTCTCAACCCTCTCCCCTCCTCTCTCTCTCTCTCTCTCTCTCTCTCTCCATTATAGAGCTCGACAAATTGACACCTCTAGCGGCAACCCGAGCCATTCGCGACTTAGCGCGAAATATCGTGCGCAGTCACGCGAACTGCACTCGGGCGGTGCACAATGGCGAATTCCTCGGCGAAAGTTTCGCGGGCAGGGCGAAATGGGGCTCGATTGTTCGGCGTGCGTTTTCCAATTAGTCCGCCGTGGCGGCTCCACCTTTGCGCGCGCCGTCGCCTTTTAACTCCTCGACGCGAACAAGTCGAGAACTTGTTATGACAAACGTTTCAGTCCTTCGCTTTGAAATAAGAGGGGGAGAAAGAAAGGGGGTGGGGGGAGTTTACCGTTACCGGCGCGATATAATGCGCGTAAAGCGCGTTTTACGCCCCGCGCGGAAGAAGGTGGAGGAGGCTCCAGTCGTAACGGGCAACTAAACGCAAGGATGCGAATTACTTCGGCGTGATTAATATTCCTGCGGAATTCTTGCGGCGACTACATTTGACGGGCGTTACTTCCGCGCTTCTATTTTGTAAGAGAGGGATATTGCGAGGGAAATTAATTTTCCACGTTCTTTTTTTATTTTTTTATTTTTTTTGATTCGCCGGGAAAGATGAAAATGATACGTCTTTTAATTTTAACTTTAACGGTAACATGTTGGGTCTACGAGGTATATGCACGTTTTCTTTTACTCGCCATTTCCACGTTTTGTGCTATACTTCGTTCCTCTTCTTCTATTAGTCAGAAAATTCAACACACGAATATGATAAAAATTTAACACAAAGATTTTAACAAGGATCGATTTTAACACAAACCAGTCTGCAGAGACAATAAATAAAAATTGGTAGTAAGTTTAATAATTCATTCAATGATTAAAAAATGCAGAGAATCATGATTTTTACTTTTTTTCCGTGATGTAGGGCTGAGAGAGTATGTTATCTACGATGTCAGCGTCAAAATCGTGGATGTTTCTTTCATGGTTAATATCGCGATGGAAAAATAAGAAAACGCGTAGGAAATAAGGAAACGATGCGCCAAATAAATGTTATAATGCACAGTGCTAAATAAAGTCGCTCTCGTATCTTGTTGCAGCTTGGACAGAGATCAACCGTTCACATTCCAGCTGGGTGTAGGACAGGTCATCAAAGGCTGGGACCAGGGACTCCTGGACATGTGCGTGGGCGAGAAGAGGAAGCTGACGATACCACCCGAGCTTGGATACGGCGAGAAGGGCGCCGGAAACGTGATCCCCGGTGGTACGATGACCCTTCTCTCTCTCTCTCTCTCTCTCTCTCTCTCTCTCTCTCTCTCCTCGCTCTCCTCTCTCCTTATTCGCGATTAATCACCGTCTGATTTAACGTTTCGTTTTATACGCGTTGTCTTATGCTATCCGAGCGATTCTCCCGCACGGAAAAAAAGTAGCTTCCACATCTGAAAATTCTCACTGAAATTTAGTTAATTTAATTAATTCTTTATATATCTAACTTTTAGCTATCACAGCTCGGAAACTAAATTAATACTGAGTTACTAAATTTCAAGTAACTTTCCAGTTACTAAATTTCAAGTAACTAAATTCCAATAGTATTGTATGCAGAGTTCATTCCTTTCTTCCGTGCGTGCGCACTTCGGAAATCATTATCGGGCGGGCGAGTTATTCGCCGGGCGCGTCGAGGCGCGCAGATTGTTCCTTTTGTCCGAAACTTTTTCAATTCGCCGTAAGTGTCCGCTAATTGATGGCCGGCGCTGTAATTTCGCGAGGCGGCCCCGTGGACGCTTCTCTAATTGCCCTCCGGACTTCCTCGGCCAATCGAGACGCGCGCCGAGGGGTGTGTATACACGGGAATCAAGTGGACCGCAACGGTGTAGATCGCGATTAAAAGGCGGCACGCTGACACGGGCATTTTTCGAATTACACGCGGGACACCGTTTTTGCGCGCTCGCACAGCCGCCCACGCGATGAGGGGAAACCCGGGGGGGAGGATGGGCGAGAGCCTACCCTTCGCACAGTGCCGGGGGACGGGGAAGGGTGGTGGGATAGGCAGGCAGGTTGATACAAGGGTAGTCGTTAGTAACGGAATCGAAGTCAAAAATGCAATTGCACGGAAATCCAATAAAGCATCAACCATTAAATTGAGCAGCGTTGCGCGCACGGCTCTCTGCGCGCGACCGGCGGAATCAACAATGATGAACGGCTCGCCTATTTCGCTGGGGACTCGCGCGTAGATAAATCGACCGTTACGCCCCGTCCCCCCCGCCTTCTCTGCCGTTTATTTTAATTACTTTTTAAATACGGAATCCATGAGTTTATTCGAAATCGATACGCGAGCCGGCTGAAACTGCGAACGTTCCGCGGCGGTTTCGCGATTATCGCACTTTTGCGTCGTTCGATCGCCGCTTTCTCTCTCTCTCTCTCTTTCTCTCTCTTTCTCTCTGTTTTGCGCTAATTGCTAATTACGCGAGCACGCTTCGTTTGGTGTTTGCGGAGGGGCGATTTAAAAGGCGTCGGTGTAAATATAAGTAACGCAATTATCTCTGAATGTAATTTCTGTAATTCTGTAATTTCTCCCTCTTCTTTTTTTTTTATCCACCCGGCAACCTCGTTTTAGATTCGCCGCTGCGCGCGTGCGCGCTTATTTGCTCGTACGAATCAAGCGCTAATTTTGTTGCGCGCTTCCGGCGCGCTCGATTTATCGCCGTGTTGCGATAAGTCGAGCTCGCGCAATAGAGAGGGAACATTCGGAGGGAAACGACCGGCGGAGATTCGCGCCGGTATTCGCGCCTAAATGCCATCATCTCTCTTCATTTCTCACGTCCAATTTCCACGGCGACGGCGGCGGCCGTTACACCCCGGCCGGCGCATTATTATTCGCCGTATTAATTTCACTCGTTTAAATAGTGAATAATTAAGCGCCATATTTCATTAGGGCCAGCTTAATCGCGACGGGACCATCCATAATTAATGGCTGGACGTGCCGGGCGCCCGTATGCATTCTCCCATGCCGAGCACTTCGTTAGCCCCCCGGCCGAATTTGCTGGTCATTGTTATTTCGGATATCTATAGGCGCCGTTATTGGCGATCGAATTTCTGTACGCGACGTTATTAGCGATCAGCCGAATGCGCGCGTGTGCGTGTGCTTGCTGGTGCGCACGATTAATCCTCAGTCCGAGGCTCGAGCCTTCAATTTAACTACGTGTTCTGCGATCTTCCCTTGCTTCCTCTTCCGCGCGTTATTCACGCGACATACAATTCACGACGTTTCTGTTATTTATTTACTAAGTGTAACATTCCTCGGTCTTCTGTGTGTGGAACCACCCTGCGGGAGCGGTGCGAAGCGATAACTATGTTACCACCTTAAACGTCTTCGAAATACGAGGAAAGGGGAGAAATTTATTCAGCCGAAAGTGCAATTAATGGTCATCATTTCGAATGTCTTCCGTAGATGTGAACTGTTTTCATCTTTTCATCTACATAGTGAGATTTTCCACGTTTTGTCGTGTCAAAATTAACGCATTTTACATGTCCCAAAACGGTCGACACAAATTTTTGCGTTGACTCATAACACAAGATGAATATCGAAAAGTAACGCAAATATTATGTCAAAAATTAACATGAAATTAATATACGTTATTCGTTTTTGTTAGTTAATATAACGTTAATCGATACTGAAATATAAAGTATGTTATTTGTATGTTACTTTAACAGTTACATGAATATTAACTCAACACAAAATACCAAAAGAACACAAACAAATATGTGAAATTAACACACAGATATATTAGAAACTTAACACAAAAAGTTTAACAAAGATCGACTTAACACAAGTGCAAAATTTGGTTTATTGTGCAGGTCGTTAATCAGATATTTTTATCTCTCGAAGATATTCGAAATAGTTATAATTATTGCGTCATTCTGTACTTTACGAAATATTAAAAGAACGGACCGTTTTTGTATGCCCGACACGGTTGAGTTTATAGCCGCGGGACGGTTTCCGGATTCATTCATCCAACGCGATACGTAAAACGGCCGATTAATTCAGAACCGCTGTATCGGAATCGCTGGATGTAACTGACGCCGATTTTAAGAAAAACGATCATGACCTTTTTACGGAGATATCGCGTAGATATGTAAAAAAATTCATCGAGATGTATTTTTAAGGGGGAGAACGGGTGACAAAACTCGGTCTCTCCGAATAGAACGGCGCTGCTTCGGAAAAAAAGAAGGACAAACCTATCGGCGATATCGACAGCGGCGAATTATTCAGGGCAACGGACTGCGTTCGCATTCGCAACTCGAGTTCCGGACGAAATGACACGTGATAACGGACTGACACGGTCATTTAAATTTGTAATTTAATTTATAAGCGCGCGCTTGTGCTCGATATCAGCCGTCAGCTCGGATCTCGAGTTCATTTTTCTTCCTTTCGCCTTTCTCCACGATCTCTCCTTTATTACGCTCTCCTTTATCTCGCTTGTTTCCACCGCATGCGTAATCGAGCCGCATTCAATTGCGGATATTCTCCCTTTCCCTTACACGTGTCCGCGTATGCAGGTACACGTGTCCTCGCCGTGTATTCCTGTGCATCTCGATTTGTCGTCCACTCCAGTGTGCGCGTATTCCGCATATTCCACGTGTACATCCGCGAGAACGCGTAAAAAGCTTTGTCGCTCGACGGCGGATCGATGCGCTTTAGGGATGATTTACGAGTGCTCGCCGGATCGAGATTAATAGTATTTGCAAAACTGGATAAGCCCTTCGACTCGCGAAATGGGCATCTTATCGCATCTAAAATTTTCATGACGCGAACTTCGCCGGTATATCGTTAAACACATTTTATGTCTCTGCTCAAAATATCGAAGGGAGATTTGGTTTACGGAGATTCCAATTCCACATTCCACTTCTTCCATACACAAGATTAAAGAAAACAAGACTTTTGTAGCGATTTTAAAGAGCAAATATTGGTTCTTGCAACAAAATAGGGACCAGACGAAAGCTAAAAAATGAAAATCCGTCGACAAGAAGTGATATTTCTGTTACTGCGATGAACATTCGTGTGAATATTCAGCTGTATCGAAACTAGGTTGAAACAACTGAAAACAATTGACCGAGTGGAAATCACTGACAGGAATCTTTTAGTTTCTGTATCTGAATTTTCGCCTGGTCCCCGGGACAATGGAAAATTGAATTACACCGACGGAATTGTTTTTCCGTATAGTAATAATAATCTATTAAATAAACATTAGGCCAAATCATAATTCTCCCTCTCCATTTCTCTCTTTCTCTTTAGATATATAAATCGCCGTAATTTCATTCATTGTTGATTTCAGGTGCAACTCTTACCTTCGAAGTTGAGCTCATGAATATTAGCGATTCGCCCCCAACCGCTAACGTCTTTAAGGAGATCGACGCGGACAAGGACAACCAGTTGTCCCGCGAGGAGGTGAGAGCAATGGCAAGATCACTTTAAGTCTTTTTCATTTGGGCCATTTGTGTGGTGGTGGTCGTAGAATTGTAGAGCTACGAATCGGCCTTACGTTCGTCCCCGCAAATCCACCGAGGATTTGGTGTCGCTCTCAGCGCAATTTGTTCGTATATCTTAACCAATTCCAAGGTAGAATCTAATATTATTATCGTCCATCTGTCTTCGCGAGCATTGTTCATTATCATATAACATTGATGTCGCATGATACAAATTATTCAACAATTATTCGTTGCATTACTAATCACCGCGGAATAGGCCACCGAGGGGATGCTTTGATTGACCGGATGGGCGAATATTGTTAAACCATGATCGATCAGACGAGGAACTAACTAATACACGAACCGTTAAGACGGCGTTGAGACTCAGCGCGAGTCGTGAAGTTTTTCAGTAATATTATACACGTGGCAGCGCGAGAGAGACATGATTTTGAATTAATCAAGACAAATTACACGGCAATCGTATTCTATTATAAATACCACGCCAGACGGCGTAATTAAATTACCCTCGGGCAAAATCGTCCGTTATCCTCGAGAAATCGCGCGTCCGAGATGCAAATTCTTGACACGTTTTCCTCGGACGATCGAAGATGAGAGGATTCCACGGTGCGATAATAATTAACATCGCATTAACACTCACGTCGCGTAACCCATTTAACGAAAACCCGTTGGCATCGGATTGGCGATTTAACAACGATTTAACAACCATTTAACAACCATTAACCGTACGCATAAACGCACTGCGCAGCCATCCCGGCTAATCGGTACGTGGCCGGTGTCCGTTTTCGCTTGCAGGTGAGCGACTACCTGCGGAAACAGGTGTTGGAGGCGGAGCAGGCCGGCGCGGGCGAGAACGAGGACGTGAAGAAGATGCTGGCCGACCACGACAAGCTCGTCGAGGAGATTTTCCAGCACGAGGACAAGGACAAGAACGGCTTCATCTCCCACGACGAGTTCAGTGGGCCGAAGCACGACGAGCTCTGAAGTCTTCGTGCCGCATCATCGCGTCTCCGAGCGCCCGTTGTCGGCGTCGTCGCCGACGACGATGCCGTCGCGCCCCGCGCCACCACGTGTTCACCTCTGTATAGAATCGCCTCTTCGAGTCCCCTCCCGGGGATTCCCGAAGGACTCACCGATCAATCGTCCCGAGCACACGCGCGTTCGGACTCGCAACCAGACCGACAGGATTCACCGGCAGCAGCGAATCATCCCGACGACTCGGCAACATCGACACTTACAATTCCGCGAGAGGGATGCGAGCTTCGGGAACCTCCGGCTCGCCCGGTCGCAGCCACCTCCTCGATCGCCGGAGGCTGCCGGGGGTAGGGGAAAGTAGCAGGCCCGACGAGAGAGATCGACAACGAAGTCTGCGGATCTGCGAGGTGAAGCCGATCATCGGAGTCGATCCGAGAAGTATCTCATGAGACTGCGGGAACAGATGGCCCTAAGAACCCTTGATCTTCCCGAAGCCCCCGGGTGTCCTCCCGGACGGGAGGTGCGTCGGAATAGGAAAGCCGTGAAATGACATCCCGCGGACCCCTTGTTAAACGCACAGCGAGAAGAAGACACGCAGGAGGCAATCTCGATCACTTCCGGCGGATTACTCGCCACCCGCGAACCCTCTCCGACACAACTTGGCACAACTTACCGAAGAACATCCGCGAATCTTCTGTCGCCGCTCGATAACGTTCAGCACGCGCGTCTTTGGTGATTAATTAACGTGGGTAACGTACGCATTTTCGGAGCGACTTTGGATCACTGTACAGAAAATCGGATCTTTTATCTGGAAAGGTTTCGGTACGAGCAAAATTTCAAGCTGAAGGAAAAAGTTCGTTTGATTTCGACGAACCGATCGCGTTAAGGGTCTACAGGAGGGGCTGCGGAAGTCTCCCGCGGAGGGAACTACGGATTTGTATTTTTCGTTTTCAGATCAAAATTGAGGAATAGTTACTTTCTAATTATGATATTCGTAATCGGGAAAATCATTCGCAGTGCAGTACAGAGCGATTTTTTTTGGAAAAAAGATGAGAATAGAAACATGATGATACATTTGAATGAGCGCTCGAACGAAGCTTGGAGCGTAGGACGAGTCGATATTTCAATTTATTATACATTTTTCTAACTGCAAAATCCTCTATACGTTAAATGTAAGTATTATATAAAGTATAACAAAAAATGTTTGGTAGGAAAATATAAATTGTACGAAGGGGAAAGCGGAAAAGTGCACGATTCCACATAAAGTACTACTCTTGGTATTGTATGGACATACATCTATACATATCTATACATCTAGATACGGCATTTGGCGCTTATGCCACACGAGGCCTGCAAAGTCAAATTTGGATTTGCTCTTTTGGTTCCTGTAGACCCTTAAGATTTCTTATTGAGGTCGTGAATTATACCTACCGTTGTTTCACGTCTCGTTAATCGTTCCTGACACATGATTTGTCCTTCGCGAAATTTTGGCGGATATTCCCATAGCGGGCGAGCGAGCGACATTCCGGCGCGACGACTACTGTACATTTTAAAATATGATATTCCAAGAAAAGAGAGATGAAAAATGCACGAATGCCTGCTCGAATGACTGCACCCCTGTGACGCGTGAAGTGAGGCTGTTCCGCGATATATATATGATATATATATATATATGAATATATATATATGATATATATATATATGAAAAAAAAAAGAGAGAAAGAAAAAGAGAGATTGATGACAGAGCGAGAGGAAGGTGTGAGATGGTGAGAGTGTTTTTCTACATGATTATAGATGTTAGCGTAACTCAAAGGCATCGACGTATGGTGCTATAAAAATCACACGCATTCTGTCCCGCTCTCAAAAAGCTTCCACCAATTCCCCTCTCACGAATCTCCTCGATCCCCGAAGCCATAATGATTCCCTTGCTCGCGAGTCGCACGATATTCACGTCAGGTGACGAGAAGAGGATGACGAAGAGGAAGAGCGAAATATCACGAGGACGCGCAGTGGAGATGAATGTGGTCCGCTCTAAAATGCGAGCCTCCCCTATTGTCGCTATCATTATTATTACATTTTAACTGATACGTTTTTATTACTACATTATATTGTATGTTGTTAAAGTTGGACGAAGGTTAATTAATAAATCGTGTGTCTCGAGCACAGTTTGTTATATAGCCACCTCTTTCAATTTCTGCACTTCCCCGTCTCTATGTTCACTCGTGATTCCACGAGAATCCAGTCAAATTTTGACATGCAATATATGTATATATATATTTTTTTGTTTTCTTCATAATTAATATTACATCACACGAGCACTTATTTTAAGTAGTCGATAATCAGGTCTCCGCAATCTGACTTCGATCGTCGCTAAAATGTATCATTGCATTCGATATTAAAATACTTAATATTAAATACTCACCTTTCGCACATGGAAGATAACATTTTAAGAAGTCCCAAGTTTGAACCTCATAATCGAATTTCCGCTGGTCTGAGGAAGAACTTATGGAAGGGACTACGCGACGAATCACACGATGCCACACACCCGTGTAGAACTGCTTCTCGCTTTATTTGAAGAATCATTTCCACAGAGAGTTACAATGAATGCGATTATGCGCCCATACGAGGCGCAATAGTAAAATGATGATTAAAGGTAATTAAGTTTCCGCTGCCCCTCGCTGGGCGCGAGAAATTTAGAGTCGTGCGGCGGTTTATCGATTTACACGTTCGCCGTATATTCGACAGGAATCGTTCCGCAGTTTATAGTTACTTCGTATGCAAAAGAAAAAAAAAACCCAAAAAAAGAGAGAGAAAAATGAAGGGAAACAGCCGTCCCTTCGTGATCATTGCAATGGATCGTCGCAGTTCGCTCTCGAGTGCTTAGGTCGGGTGCTTAGAGTTCGATCGATCGTAGGAAATCCGTCGAGGCACGTGGTGATTACGTTCATACCTTTCTTTAGTCGATTCGACCCTGTCGTCCGAGTGGTTCGAGTGAATCTTCCGAGAAGAGTACCGAGAGTACAATACGTAGAACATACAGATATACGATATACGTAAATAACGCGAGTGCGTGCGCTCGGGCGCGCGCCGAACTCTTTCGAAGAAAAGAAGGGAGACGCGATGGAAGGAAGGAAGAGAGGGAGGGAGGGAACCCTGCGAAAACCGCGCGCCTCCCGCGAGATTCTCCGCGCGAGATAAGGAAATTTCGGCGAGACCGGAGAACTTCCACGTGACAAAGGGAGAGAGAGAGAGAGAGAGAGACGTGTGCGAAAAACGAGAACGCTTCTACAAAGCGGAGGGAAATTCCTAGCGGGATAGATAACTCTCTACAACGCGCGCGCCTCCGAGAGAAAAGAAAAGGACGCGGTTCGCTCGATCATCTTTCTCGCCAAAATTCAAATCGTCGGTCGACGTTTGGCTCTGGTCCATCAATTCGCGACCGAACGCGTCTTATTTTATATCTCTTCTTCCTCTTTTTCCCTTTTTCCCTCTTTCCTCCTCTCGTCCCGGGTACCTGTTATCCTATCTTAGTGAGGAGAATCGAGCGAGGAGGCGCGCACGCGAGACGCGTCACGACGACGACGTGTCGCGGAGTCGATGGCCGTGTGTCGCTCGACCACGGAGCTGGTCCCGTGCTGACGGCCGACGACGGGGATTCCTAAGGAGATTCCGAGATCCCTCGTCGGGGAGATGTCTTCGCCGAGTTTCCGCCCCGCGTTCGCCCCCTCCCCCCCATCCTGCGCCCCGATATCGACGTGCCCCCGCTCCTCCCGTCGTCCTGTCCCATCTCGTTTCGTCGAGGGCATGTCTTCGTGGCCTTCGAGTATTATCACAGTCAGTAGCCCTTGATGTAGGCGGCGATGTGCTTCTTCTCCTCTTCCGAGAGACCGTTCTTCAGCGTTCTGCGCACTGAAAGAGAAGCGCGATGTCGCGCCGATCACATTTTTTGGGGGGTTTTCACGTTACGTAGAGCAAATGTGGCGTCCTGAGTTAGACTCGGTGCTCCTGTCGTGTCGTGAAATCTATAGTATCTTTCTTATACGGGGTGAGGCAATAACTATTACCACATTGAATGTTTTCGGAATATGAGAGTACACAGAAAAAAGCGCTAGAATCAAGTAAACGTAATTATCTGTGTTTTCAATCTTATAAATCAAATAATATTTTATCACTCTAAGTACATTTTAAAATAGCTTGTAGCACATATTTCTTTGGACGCAGTAATACTTTAATCGAAAATGAATCATTGAATGTAAGCGTAAAATGTTTCTACATTTAAGAGAATATTTATCAGAATTTATGTAATATTTTTTTTTTCATTAAAAAAAACCAATGGTTCTTTAAATTTCGATTTTTCTGCCTAATATAAATATTTTCTAAAAATAAATTGTGATATTCTCAATATTATGAATTTAATATTTGTCGCAATTATTCTAACAGATACAAGCAAATGTCTATACGAAGGAAATATCATATTATATATAGTCAATTTCTACTTAACCCTTTTAGTGCCGGGAGCCGATATATCGGCCCGCACCTTGTAGCGCTTTACTATTCGCATTGCGAGAGATCTCTATCAAAATAAATTTAAAATACGTTATAAATAGTCTATTTTCATTACGAGAGAATTAAAATAAATAATTTTTAAATATTGCTTTTCGTTTGGTTTTTATGAGCCTTTTACCAAATCCTAGTAAAATCGGCCGGTTATCTTCGCATAAGCACCTCTTTTTCGCCCGGCACTAAAAGGGTTAAGTAAATATTACTTAAACGGCAGCACTTTTTTTCAATGTAGAAGGAAAATTTATCGGACAGAAATTGCATTGATGCCAATAATATTAAACGTCTGTAAACATAAACGTTTTTCGTCTTCATCTAGTCGTCAACAAAATATATTTAATTTTTGAATATGCTCAAGGTGATAGTAGTCGTCGATTCATCCCGTACATCACGATGTAAAATCTACTTTACCAATATAAAAAACATCTCGATTGTTAAGGAATATCTCGCTTTGCTTTCTGTTTTTAATATAAAATTTTCTTTGAATGTAAAATCCGGGCACTCGAGGTGGTTATTTCAACTCACTGACGCCACTCTCACTCGGAATCTTTCGATTCGCGCGTGCTGTGAGAACTGTGAGAGCTTTTTTTTTCTTCAGTCGAAAAAGCGGGATAGGAAAGTCACACGCGGGGAGTCACAATTGAATTTGACACAAGCTACTCACGCAGTTGCATTACATTCTTGGTTTGACATCTCTCATGTCATTTGCATTCACAGTGTGCGTGCGAATGGAAGAGCGATAGAAGGAAGAAGAAGTGCCGGCGGTTTAAACGACAAAAGCATTACCTTCACATGGGGATTATCGTGGAATTGTCGTATGTCAACGGTTTTATAATTATGAAAAGAAGTATGTACAGCGTTATCCGGCATGATGACGATTAAAGAAAAAAAAAGGAAAAAAAAAACAGAACAGTAAGAAACGACGAACCATTTGCGAGCGCGTTATTCCGAACGCATGTGAGATGCACCCACGCATCCTTCGAACACTAAAAGGACAACACGAATGAGTACATCGTGATTCGTATCGTCGCGCGACGTCCCTCACGGAGAAAACAAATTTTGCTGGAACAACAAATGCTTGTCAATATAGTGACAGCAAAAAGAATTTACTTAAACGGCAAAATAATTTGGTTACGCCAACTAAATATTATTGCTGCAGCAACGAACTGTTTCGCTACAACAGCAACATTATTTTTTTTCACGTAGCAAATCTTCTCACTGTCGCAATATTAACAAACAATTTGCTGTTCCAGCAAGACGTGTTTTCTCCATGCAAGAAGCACGCTTGCAAAAATCACAGGGGAAAATAGTTGAGTTATAATCGCGATAATATTGCGTCGTTGTCGCGCCCGCCGCCGCGGCCGATTCATCACACGTGCGCGCAGAGGTGTCGAATTAACGTTTTTCCGCGTTAACGACCGCCCGGTTAGCCGCGTCGTCGTCTATCCGGACGCGAAATCGCATTAAACCGGGCGATGTCTAATTAACGAGCAGTGGTCGCCCAACTACAACCCGACACGTGGCCGTTGGGCTCGTCCGGACTCTCTCGAGGATCGACAATTAATTCCGCCGTCGCGTACAACGACGGCGGTATCGTTGCGCGGATCCCCGCGAGTTTCGTTGAATTCGCGCCGCGCACGGTCCTGCGACCGGTCACTAACTTTCCGATCGGATCCACGCGATTCATGATTCGGTTACGTGGAAAATAAAAGGGTGGAAAGCGGAGGAAGAGAAAAAAGCGGAAAAACGTGCATCAATACGGACGATTGGCAAAAATAAAAAAGTTCGCGTGCGAACTTCGTCATCGAACGTAATCGAGGTATACGAGCGAAACAGAGTAGGAGAAAGTAAAAAAAAAAAATGCAGGAGAGAGGAAGAGAGAAAGAGAGAAAGAGAACCGACAGTTAATGATTAAACCGTTCCTGTTTCTGGTTTCGCCGTTTCGCGCGCACGTGTCGGTGGAAATTCCGGCATGATTAGCGGCATAATTAGTTGAACTGTTAATAGCGACGTCTACATGTATATTGGAATTCTGCCGTGCATTCTGCGCTATTTCGATCACGTAAATAATTAGACCGGGGAGTTAATTTGCCGCTTTGTTGTGGAGATTAGTCGACGCCGTTCCCGATATGCCCGATAGTAAACAAACCGTCCGAAATGCAGTGATGAAAACCGTCAGTTGTTAGCGGATTTCGGAAATTACTGCAACTGAAGCTTGATATACCCTCGAAATGGTTGCCGGCCCCTGCCTGCCTTCCCTTCCTCCCGTCCGCTAATCGTGAACTGCGCGCTTCATCGTCGTTACGTTAACGCTAGCTGATGCGCGCTCCCGGCAATGAGACGCATAGTGTGTATACATGCGACGTAATCGCGATTTTAAAACTTGAAAACGCACCACCGGTCGCGTAAAAACCGACGCTACGTTTGTTGAGAATTTTCGTCGAGAGACTACGGGGAAATACGAATTTATACGTGCGCGCAAAAATCTATTTCAACCGTGAGATATGAATTTTTGAAAATACTAAAATATCGTGTCGAAGCTGCCCGGTCGTCCAAAAAAAGAGGAGCGAGAAAACAAAACTCCATCTGTTCTATAAAAAATTCTGCGTTTTTGAAATATTTTTATAAATGTTGCATTATATGGAAGAGAAAGAGAGAGAGGAGAGAGAGGAGGGAGGGGGGGGAGTAGAGAAATCTGTTTTTACGACCAATTTTGGAATTCACCGTAGCGATTAATTCAACGCTCGATTTTTCGTGCGCTCTGATTTCGCGTTTCGAAATATCGCGAAAGTAAAGAATAAAAGTCCCAGAGAATCGAGCCCGCGTGCGACACGCCTCGAGAAAGAGGGACCGGCGGGATTTTAATTTCCCTTCTGTAGGTGGGTTTCTCGTTACGATTAATCCCGTTTATTAAAGTCAACAGTAAATTAGCGCATTGTCCGGTAATTATGGTTTCATTGCGGCCCGCAAACACAGGATCGATAACGGCCGTGGCGAACGTGTTTCGAAAGTACCTACTCACGAAGATAATGATGCTATCATCACGGGCTCTCGATATCGATAATATCAGTTTCTTTGATCTGGTATCGCGTAACAAAGGACTCTTGTGATACGACCACAAACCACCGGCATTGTACGTGTATTCTCTTACTTCAGCGATTACCTTCCATCCCTTTGATCCCTCTCGTTATCCTCGCAATAGCAGCATATAGCCCGCGCTCTCCGAAGCGCAGGGGATAAATAAGCGGACGAAAAAAGGAATAAATCCGCGTGTATAATTTCTCTCTTTACAACGACGTAACCAGTGACGATGACGTTTCGAGTTTCTCCCTCTCTCTCTCTCTCTCTCTCTCTCTCTCAATATTTGCGCCTGCTTATCGTAATCCAAGATAAAACGGAAATTACAACGTTATAACGCGGGAATTAGTGACACTCTGTAATAATAATATTTATTCCTGCCGGAGAGCGCGCGACTTCTATTATTTCGCTCGGAAAAAATACCGGAATTATTTGTCGACATATGAGCTATTAATACCCGGGGACCGGATATCAATGATAGCGATCGTTTTTCACCGCATAATTATCATCGCGCGGTCCGAGCTTGAAATATTCGTATACAATACTCATAATTTATTTTCCCAGCACTAATTGGTCACGATAGCACACCTGAACTTCTAGTTATTATATTATTCCGATTCGGAAACAATTCCTACCCCCCGAGCAAAGAAAATATTAAATTTAATGAATATTAAATGTAATTACTTATTATAATTCTCGCTAAATACCAAACTCGTGATCAAGAATTCAATATTATATTTTAGCAGAAGCGCGCGAAAATACGCGCTGGTAAATATCACTACGAGTCATGTGTTACCGCTCGAATATTTCTCGTATGTAATTTCGAAAGTCACGCGATTAGTCCTTCAGTTTTTCATCCTAATATCCTTTTCCCTTCCTCTCGCTCTCCCTCCATCTCTTTTTGGCAACTCGCCGCGCAACTGCCGTAATGCGCGAAGTACCGAGTCGCAGATTGACAGTTCACGTTCGACGCGACATTTAGCGTGCTAATCATCGTCGCGGTTTACGCTCGAACGATCGCGTATCGATAAATCATTCGACGCGAATCCGGGCCGCATCAATAATTTCGTTAGCGAGCCACTGTGTCGGCCCGGATCGATGCGGACGTCCTGACGAAGGCGGGCGGCTTTTGCGGACCAGACACCGATGCTCTTCACGTAACACGGACAAGATTTCCGCGCCTTAAGAGCGTTAAAAATAAATTCACTCGCTGACCGCGCTTTCAATGAACTCACCTTAAGGCGCTCACGAGAACAGCACGCTCGAGGAGC